CGCCGCGGAAGGCAGAAGGCAGCGGTCCTTACTCGATACGAATTGCAACAATTGGAAAGATGGCAGACCGACAAACTTCGGCACTTGCTCCGGTTTCCAGCCCGCATTAAGCACGTCCCCAATGAAGCGATACGCCGCAAAGCAAAGATCCACTCGAGTTCGTCTACGTTGTTGCTCCGACGGCTGAGGTGGTGGCAGAGAGTGATTACCCCAGGCTTGGCCCCAGAAGTTCCTGATTCTGATCCCACTAGAGCGGTCAGACCGGTGATTTTCGGACGCCTGAGTTTCGAGAAGCTAGCGGACACCAGTAAATCGGTGGGAAGATTGGTCCAGCTGGGCCAGGACCTTAAAATGCTCTGGTCATCGCTCTCTGCTGGCATTCGTGACGGTTGCCCCTGGACCCGACCTAGAAGTATCTAATCGATGGCTTCAATGGTTATGTGACGTGTCCCTGGCTGATATTGAACAATGTTTTGCCCCATCACGCTACGAGCGATCCCGCGCCCGCCGGAGGGGAGCGCGCCGACGGATCGCAGTAAGTGCTGCTTCAGTGTCCTAAGTGCGGTCACGTGTGCAGGGGCCCCAAGGGCCTCGCTAGCCACCGACTTCAAGCCCATGGAATCGTGGCTCATCGTCTCGACCTTCCCTTGACCAACATGGAAAACAAGGCGTGCCCGCACTGCCAACAGGTGTCCACCAGAAAAGATACCCGGCTGCGCCGCATCAGTGCGAAGCGGTGCCCACTGCGTCGGGCTTCAGTGGCTCGAGAAGACCATCCTGCCCCCCCGCTCGACTCAGTTGCTGTGCGCCTGCCAGGAGCTGTGCAGTCAGAGCGGGAACTCTGCGCACGGCCGGCGGCTGCAGTTGGGCATCGCGTGGTACGGAGCTCGCCCTGCCTGAGTGATGCTCACGCGGTTGGCGGAGGCTTCCGCCAAGAAGCGCAGCCCCGAGAAGGAGGGCGGGCCCGTGGCAGAGGCCGAGGAGGCGGCAGAGGTAGGGGGGCACCGTCGACTGACGTTGGCGAGCAGCACGAGGACAATCTTCGCAACCAGAGCCGCGACGTGAACGTGGTTCTCACCCTGCGCGCCGACGCCAAGATCCAGCTGGCGCTAGAGGAGGGCGCCGACGAGTACAACGAGACGGGCAAGCAGCAGCGGGAGAAGGGCGACTTCAAGGGCCACCCATGGGGCAAGCGCCCAGACGCGCAGATGAAGATGGTGCTATTCCGAGTGATGGAAGCCCTCTGGGCCGACGAGGCCAAGGTAGCGGCAGCCATCCAAGAATGACCCGATCCAGAGGTCACGATGGAGGCAGTGAAGAGCATCGCGGGGTGGAGCACCAGGGTTCGGGACAAGGCGACGGCCTTCCACGCCGCCAGGTGTCTCATGGCCACGACGGAGGACAAGCGGGCAACGAGGTCCAGAAGTGGATCTCCGCAGCGTGCCACCACCCCGAATTCTCCAACGAGCTTCCGCGCAGTTGATGGGCAGCGGGGGCGCCCTCGCAGCTTGGCCTCCCGCTCGAGCGGGGCACGGCGCCCGGGAGCAGCGCGGCAAAGACGGCGGAGGGGCCCGCGCTCAACGCGCAAAGGCAAGGGCCCCACGCCCCCGAAGAGGTGAGGGGACGCGCGGGGTCCAGCAGCTCGAAACAAACACTGTGGAGTCATTGTTCCGCTCATGTAGCGGGGGGGGGCACGTAGCTGCTTTTTCCGGGGTTCTTGTGGGCTCCTTGTGCGGCCGTCGGCCCTCCTGGGTAGAGAGGGGCTCAGGGGGCCCAGAGTGGCTTAGGGGACCTCCCTCAGAGGATGGAATGCGCGAGGTTGGGATCGGGGATCGGGGCGTTTTTCCTGAGGTTCAGTGTCTTGGGGGTCGGTCCCGCCTTGTGCATTTGAGGGCTCCGATCGATTAAGTTCGAGTGCGCCAATGTTTTTGCTTCGTGTGTAGGCCTCGGTCGACAGTGTTACCAGCCCAACACTAGGCCTCCAGAGCTGTGGACGAGAGGGGGCAGACGCTTGTGTGTGTGTGGAAGTAGAACGAAGCCGCTTCCGCTTGCGGAAGTTGGCGAAACGCCAGCGGATATTGGCAGAGGTTTCAAGGGTTGGCATTTGTTTCTCGGCGGACAGGCGGCAGAAGGCGGCGGAAGTAAAACAATGCCGCTTCCGCAGGCGGAAGTCGGCGAACAGGCCAGCGGAGGTTGGCGGAAGTAAAATATGCGCTCCCAAGAGATGAGAGCATTTTGAGGCTCAGGGTTTCTGGAATCCGCCATGCGTGTGGGCGCGTGGGGGGGGCGGGGGGTCGGGGGCGCACCCGTTGGGAAATGTGGCGGACATTCCGACGAGGAGGGGGGAATAGGGGGGAGGACGAGGAGGGAGGAGGGATGACAAAGAGACGAAGAGGGCGGGAGGAAAAGGTTCTACCCCGCCGCCGTGTGGAGGCGCCGCGAACCCACCCCTGCCCCCCAACGCGCACCCATTCCGAGGCAACGCGCTCGGCGACCTGTCGTTCACCTTGACCCCGGTCCCGAAGAACCGCGAGGCCGTCCCGCCGCGGCCCAGCCGAGGGACGAGGGCCGGGAGTTCCTCCTCTTCCGTCACTCGTCCGCCTTCCCGTCTGCCTCCCCCTCCTCTTCCGCCGCCTTCTCCCCCTCCGCCCCCTCCTCTCCCTCCTCCCCCCTTCCCTCTTCCCCATTTTTACACAATAGGAGTACTACTCTCCTCTCTCTCTTGGTGACGTCCGGAAGATGTCCAGCCCCTCTCCGCGTATAATTTTTACACGGGGTTCCCTGGAGTTGATTTTTCGCTTGGGTTTTTGTTCAAAATGCTGCTCCCGCGGAGGCGCTGGCCTCATTTTCGGGCTTCCGCTCGTTCCGAATCGTGCTTCCGCTGCAGCGTTGGCCTCATTTCCGCGCTTCCGCTCGTTCTGAATCGTGTTCCCACTTCGGCGCCGGCGTCAGTATTTCCATTGCCGTGCCACAGCATGGTTGTCGGTCCTTCAAATCGGCCCCAAAATTTAGAAAATGCCCCCCTCCGAACAAATATCATAAGTGATTACACATTCGGTGTCGATTCGTTGGTTTTTGGGCCGCAGAAGCCACCCCCACACTTTGGGGCGTCGCCACGCCATGCTATGTCATGCAGAACCATCGTGGCTCGGGAGGGCGGACTTTGGCCATTGCTGGAACGTACCCCTCGGAGATGTGTCGCTTCCTGGCTCAGAGCTTGGGGCGATCCTGGGCCCCCAACGTTCGATCTAGGGGATGAATGTGCACCGTTCCTTGTTCCCCTGGATCCCTTCTATGATTTCCAGCGCGGTCGTGATGTCGTTCAAGTGGCACCCTTTCCCTCTCCCTGACAAGTAATGGGGTGTGCGGCGCCACAACCCTCGCAGCACCTTCGGGAAATACTTCAGTTTGGCTGCGTTTTGATATCTGCCTTGTGCGCGGCACGTACTCTCGCCGAACAGAGTGGCCTGTTTAAGGCTGGACGTGTGCACGGCACTTTGACTCGCAGTAATCAGGCGAAGGTATGTTGTTCGATCCGCTAGGTTCAGCAACCTGAACCTGATGAATGACCAGCTTGCCAATGGACGTATGGAGCGTTTGTTTGGGACCCATGGGACGCTCTGCCACCCATGCGTCAGGACCAGGACTTGAAACAGGCCTTGCGTGACTATGGGATTGAGCTTGAAACACATGGGGTGGATTATGTGTTTTACCCTGAGAGGTTTGCCCGCTTCGGCGATCAATGCCTCACCGTTTCTATCTGCCGCCGCCTGCTCTTTTCGGGCTTCGCTTGGGATTCAGACTCGATCCCTTATGGCCGACCGACCGACCGAGGAGGAGCAGGAGGAGGAATCCATGGAAGAGTAAGAGGGGGAGGAGGAGAAAAATGGAGGGAGGAGGTGGAGGCAGAACCGTCTGCAGCTCACATCTCATAGGAGGAACTGGAGGGGGGGAGGATTTCCTCTTCCATCGCTCACTCCCTTCTTCGACCTTTGCCATCTCTGCTGCTGCTGCGGCTGCTGCTGCTGCTGCTGCTCGTCTTCTTCCTCGGCCCTTTTACTGCTCTCCTGACCTCGTCCTCGTTCTGGCCTTCCCCTACTGCTCTTCGTCCTGTTCATCTTCTCTCCTCGTCCTCCTCCTCGTCTTCTTCTACCTTTAACGTTCTCCCCTTCCACTCCGCTCCGCCTCCTCCCCCTTCCCCCCCGCTGACTCCGTGAGGCCTGGAGGGACGCCGAGGCACCGGACTGGAACCGACCATCGGGTCCAGCGCGCGTGGCCAAGGGGGACCGCTGCCGCCGCAAGAGGAGGAGGAGGAGGAGGAGGAGGAGGAGGAGGAGGAGGAGGAGGAGGAGGAGAACGTGGAGGAAGGAGGAGGAGGAGGAGCAGTAGGAGGAGGAGGAAGGAGGAGGGGGAGGAAGAGGAGGAGGAGGAGGAGGAGGAGGATAAGCAGGAGCAGACGGTTGGACGGACGAGGAAGAGGATAAGGCAGGCTGATGATAGAGGAAGAGAGGCGGGGAAGGAGGAGGAGGAACATGAGAAGAAAGGAGGTCCGAGAAGGTCGAGGATGAGGGGGTGCAAGATGATGAGAAGGAGGAGAAATAGGAATTATAACGATGCGGATGACAGAGGATACTTATGAGGATGAGGAGGATGAGGAGGAGGATGAGGCTGGATGAGCTTGGAGGAGGAGGAGGAGAAGGCAATGAGGAGAAGGAGGGGGACGCGCATGAGTGAGGGGAGGAGCAGGAGAAGAGGCGGATGACGAGGGAGAGGACGAGGACGAGGACGAGTCGAGGGCGAGGACGAGGTCAACGAGGTGGAGAAGGGAATGAAGGATGAGGACAAGGAGGAGGAGAAGGAGGAGAAAGAGAAGGGAGGATGAGGATGAGCAAGATAATGAGCAAGTATAAAGTAGTACTGAGCAGCAAGACAACGGTGAGAGATGGAGGATGATGAGGACGAGCAGGAGGAATATATTAGGACAAGGGCAAGGAGTGGGACCAGGACGAGGAATGGGGAACATCATGATGATGACGAAGAGGAGTGGGACGACTGCTGAAAGCGAGGGATGGGGAAGGATGAGGAGGAGGAGAAGCAGGAGTGAGATTGGCCGAGAGCAGAATGAGGACAGAGGAGAGTGGATAGTCGAGGTGGCGGGTGAGGAGGAGGAGGAGGGAAGGCTGGGAAGCAGTAGCAGCAGGAGGAGCAGGAGCGAGGAACAGCAGCACAATGACGAGGATGAGGAAGAAGGAGACGCAGGAGAGAAGATGACGAGGACAAGGATGAAGGACGATCAGCCAGAGGTGGTAGAAATATGCGGGCGATGAGGCCGAGGAGGAGATCTGATACGAAGGCGCTGAGTCTGATTGATGAGAAGGGATGTGAAGGAGGTGGAGGAGGAGGAGAAGGAGGAGGCGGAGCAATAGAGATCGCGACGATCAGGACGATAACGATGATGCAGGAGGGAAGACAGGGAGGAGGAGAAGGACAAGCCGCAGAGAGGACGAGGACGAGGGGGATGGCAGGGATGGGGATAGGGAGCGTCTTCCCGCTTAAGCTACCCAATTCCCGCAATGGTCGAGGGAGGGAGGTCAGGAAAAAAAGAGATAGGGGAGGGAAACAGAGAAGGATGGGAAGAGATGCGGACGGACAGACTGGTGGAGGGACCATGCCAGATCGGGCTGGGCGGGAAGAGGGGATGGGAGAGGAAGGGTGCCCTTACAGTGCCGTTTGTTATACATTCTCCGCGTGCGGATCATGTATGAAAAGTGCAGGGATTTAGCATTAAAACCAACGATGAGTTCATGCATACATTTACTCATACATTAATCATGGATTAAACATCCTATACTTTTCAAAATCCCATTCTTAAAAACTGCCCTTCAGGTGGCAGGTCGAGCCTCTCGGGCGATGCTGGAATTCGGCGGCCTATCCCGAGAGGTCTTCAGCACATCAGATGCAGCATCCGAGGTGCGGGCCCTCCGTGCCCCCCCTCCTCCCGCCTCCTTTCCTCCTCCTCCTCCTTCTCCTCCTCCTCCTCCTCCTCCCCTCTTTCCCCTCCTCCTTCCTCCTTCCTGCCTCCTCCGCCCTCCTCCCATCCTCCTCCCCCTCCACCTCCTCCTCGTCCTCCTCCTCCTCCTCCTCCTCCTCCTCCTCCTCCTCCTCCTCCTCTGCCGACGTGGGCCCTCGGTGCCCGAGGTCTCCATCGTAGTGGCAGGTGCTGACCAGGCTCTTGGACAGTGCAGCTCTCGGTTGCTTTCGAGGCGTGGGTCGATATACTGGTCTCCGCCCTGGTCACCGAGTGCGGCCCGACCAAGAACTCCAAGGCCCCCAAGATTCAACGATGGCGAGGAGCAACCCTCCGGGGTACTTCAATGTCACCGTCCAGGGAATCCATCAGGCCATGGTAGTCGTCGCGTGGGTATCCCTGTTCACGATTTGGGGGGGTCGCCCACGAGACGCGCGGGCTGCCGATCGGAGGAGTGCCAAGTGGAGCAACGCTCAGCGCCTTGATGCACTGGTTCGAGCATACAGCGAGCACCTCACGTCGGGACCTTGCTCCTGGAGGCTTCGCCATTCCCGCCGACGCCACCCAGGGCGCGATGGGCTGGCGCAGGTGCGCCGACGACATCTCGGGTATCAGTGCCCACTGCTGCCGCGCGTGCTCGTTCCACTATCTCGCCCTGGCATGCCCGCTCGAGCTCTCAGCCCCGCGCCGGAGGTCGAGGGCCCCAGGGACTCCCGCAGCTGGCTCGACGTCGACGTCGCCCCCGCGGGGCCTGGCGCGCGCGCCCGCCCCCCCAAAGAAGGCGAGCCGCAGGTGGTTGCTGGGGGCCGAAGTCGCGAGTGCGGGCCCGGCCTGGAAGAGGCCGCCGCGAGGTTCCTCTCCGCCCTGGGCTCGTCGTGCCGCGGCCGCGTTGCCCGCGCGCAAGCCCTGGGGCTCTCGATGGACTTCGCGCCTGGGGTGGCTTACGGGACGTGAAAACGACCACAGCCACTGCTTCTCTTTTGTTGCCGCCTGCCAGCCAGCAGAAACAAAGCAGTGGTTGTGGCCATTTTCGTTACGCTCGGCACCAGGGAAATGACCACAACCACTGCTTCTTTTTCGGCCGGCTGGGAGGCGCGCACACAAGAAGCAGTGGCTGTGGTCATCGTCCCGTCCCGCATGGCTCTTGGAACTGGCGTTCGAGCCGCATCTGAGAGGGTGCCCCGCGCCCATCTCGACCGCCCCCTCTCAGGCCGCGCCGCGGTGCATTCTTTGCCCACTGGGCTCCATCCGCCCTCGGAGCTCGGCTGCGCCCGCAGCGCCCGCGCTGGCCGGGCCCCAGGCCCGTCGAGCATGCGCCGTCGCGGCGCCGCCTCCGGCGGGCACGGCAGCAGGTCCGACGGGCGCGGCCGCGACCGCGACCGCGATCGAGACCGTCGCCGCGGTCCCGCGATCGCGGCCGCAGGCGCGGCTGCTCCTCGCCCGACCCCGAGCGGGGCCGCTCCGAGGGCCACGATCGGGACAGGAGCCGCCAGAGCAGCAACGCCAAGAAGCAGGGCGAGGCGAGGGAGCAGCTGATGGCCCTCGATGAAAAGACCTCGCGCCCTCTGCGCAGGAGCGCGAGGGCCGCGAAACGGAGCTGGAGCTCAGGGAACAGGCGAGGTACATGGCCGGAGCGACGATGCCGGCGTTCACGAGCCAGGCCGAGGAGCTCGTCAGGCGTGTCTCGCGGACTCCCGGCCGCGGCAGCAGCGGAGACCGCGGCTGCCCGCCCGCGCCTCGGGCGAGCGAGAGGCCCCCCCGGGCCGCGCGAGGATCCACGGGGCCGCAAGAAGAAGGACGTCGGAGATGACGACGCGCTCTCTCACGCGAAGGCGGGTTGGACCCAGGCGCTCATCGGCAAGGAGAAGGCCCCCATCGAGACAGCAATGAAGAACGACAGGGCCGCCGCCGCGGCGCTCGACGGGGCGATCGCCGCCCACTGCCCAGGGCAGCAGATCCCGACCAAGCGCGCCGCCGAGGTAAGCCAGATCTGAAACAATGGCGGATCGCATGGCCAGCACTGCTCCTGGGAGTGGTCGTCAGCATCTCACAGGGACGATAATGATCAGCAGCGCTGGTGTCCTCGGGAATCTCCGAAGCACCACTACAATATTAACTCTTGGGACACCTCCGAGCGTGCTTGGGACCACGACTACAACGCAAGCGAGGACAGCCGTGGCAGGGATGCGTAGTTTCTTGGGGCTCGTGAGCGCGAGTAGCAGATTCGCACAGTTATCTTCGTTCTCGGAACGTGATTTGGATTCGTTCTCAGTTGGGTGGTTCCTTCAGGCCGCTATCCACACTTTGAAGTCTGGCGCTCGTATTTGTAAACCTCAACTGGACGTGTGCTTCTGAGGCCTTCAGAGTGCAGCAGTGGGCAGACACCCTCGGCCTTCCTTTCAGGCTCTTCGACCTGACTGAGGTGCAGGTGGCTCAGTCAGTAGTGGCCGGGGCAATCGGGTACGGCCTGTCCCGCCTTGCTTGTATTGTGGGGGTCGGGAGAGAGAAACGGGGTCCACCCAACAGGTGACACATTAGGGGGCGGGCGCGGGCTCACGAGGGTATTTGTGTGTGTCTCTCTCTCTCTCTCTCGTTCTCTCCCTCTCCATTCCCATTTCCCCTCCACGCCCTCCCGTGGCACGAGAAGACGTTCAAGAGTAGGGAGCAGGAGTGCCCGGGCCTCCCTCCGTCTCCGCCGCCCTGTGTGCAGAGTGTTCCAGCGGGCCTCTCCCGGAACACTCTCTGAGAACATCTCTCGCTCGTGTCCGCCTCTCGAGCCTGCCGACGGGCGTGCGCTTCGCCCAGGCCGCGCTCATAGCGGAGTGTACGGCGGTCCGCCGCGGCGGCCCAACAGCATCGCAGCAGAAGGGACTCGATCGCCCTTTCTCTGTCTCTGTCTTTGTCTCTGTCCCTCTCTCTCTATATTCGATTTAAATATTATATACAAATACATATATATATATATATGTACATCTATGTATGTATGTATGCATATATATAAATAGGTGTTGGTGTCTCTCTCTCTCTCTCTATCTCTCTCTCTCTCTTGTCCTTTATTATTTGTTGTTTGTTGTCGCTCTCTCTCTCTCTCTCGCTCCAAGTATTTCTCTCTCTCTCTCTCGTTTTGCTCTCGCTCTCTCTCTCTCTCTCCTCTCTACTACTCGATCTTCCTCTTTGATATCCCCTTTTTTGGGTATCTCTCTCTCTCTCTCTTTCTCCCACTTCTCTCTTTCCCTATCCCTTTCCCTCTCCCTGTCCCTTTCCCTCTCCCCTCTCCCTATCCCCTCTCCCTATCCCTTTCCCTCTTTCTGCCCACTTCTCTCGCTTTCTGCCTTCCGCCATCTCATCTCCCCTTACACGTGCGTGTGTGTGTGTGTGAGCGTGTGCGTGTGTGTGTTTGTGTGTGTGTGTTTGTGTGTGTGTTTGTGTGTGTGTGCGTGTGTGTGCGTGTGTGTGTGTGTGCGTGTGTGTGTGTGTGTGTGTGTGTGTGCGTGTGTGTGTGTGTGTGTGTGTTTGTGTGTGTGCGTGTGTGTGTGTGCGTGCTCCTCTTCGTGCCCCTCCTTCCCTCCCTTCTTCGCCAGCCTCCTGCGCCCTTTCTCGCCCCCCCCCGCCCCTCGGCGAGGACACCGGCTACCTGACGACCCTGCGCGAGGTGGCCGAGCAGGGCCCCCAGCAGAGCAGCAGCAGCAGCAGCAGGCGCGGGCGCGGCGCCCCTGGGCTCCCGGCCCTTCGCCCTCCTCCCACTCCTCCCCCTCCTCCTCCCTCTCCTCCTCCTCCTCCTCCTCCCCTCTCCTCCTCCTCTTCTTTCCCTCCTCCTCCTCCTCCTCCCCCTCCTCCTCCCCCTCCTCCTCTTCCTCCTCCCCCTCCTCCTCCCCCTCCTCCTCCTCCTTTCTCCTCCTTCCCCTCCTCCTCCTCCTCCTCCTCCTCCTCCTCCTCCTTGCGTGACATTTCTATGTATGTATCTATATACTC